TGCAGCTGCCCCAGGGACCCTGCTCCGAATTATCGAGTTAATTCACTCTGGGAATGCTTTCAGGTGGTCCGTGAGCTGAGAATTCTCTTGCAGGAGCTACACGAACAAACCTGGGGGTGAAGGTTAATGGAACAATACCTGCTCAGTTCCCTGTGTAAAGGAAACCCCTTGGGGAGGCCGCAGAAGTTTGGCTCCTGCTGTTGGTTTCGCTGGCAATGGTCGGCTTCAGTGAGGAGAAATCCTCCTGTGGTCATGTAAGCCAAAGAACGAACAGAACACCACACTCCTCCTTAGCCTATATTGAACGATGAGAAAGTTTTCACCAGGTAAATGAAAAAGCAGGGTGAAAGGTGGACTCTGAAGGCTCACCAGAGCCCTCGGGTCCCGTAACCACCCACAGAGAAGCCAACAAAGCCACAGCACTCAGCCAGAAAGGCGACTCCGGGGTCACTGCTACCACGCCAGGACTGTAACAGCTTCTTAAGACCACTGAATCACCACCCAGCCTCGCTTCCTTCCAGCTGACGCTCTCCCCACTGCTCTGCCTTACAGAACACAACTGCTTCCAACAGTTCGGCTGCTGCTGAAAGCCTCCGAGCTGAGTCACTGCAGGGGCTCGCACGTCTAAATCAGGACTTGTGCTGCTGAGTCAGCCTGGAGGGACAGAACAGAACAGTTACACTCACAGATCTCACCAGGCGCTTTTGAGCCAGAATTCCCTTCCACGAAGGCAATCTTTGTAAGGTGTCTACTACAGTCCTGGTGCTGGCCACAGGACACGTACCTAAGACACCTGGCCAGCAAGGAGGGCTGACAGCCCCGTGTGTGGAGTTCAGTACAGCAGCAGAGTTACACAACGGCAATGAACAGCATGAACTTGGTCAGTTACAAGGAAAGAAAAATCCCTAAGCTCCACAAATAAGAGCAAAACACAATCAATTAACTAAAAAGATGCATCTGACAACCTTGCTGCTTACATCCCTCAGGTCTCTCCAGTCCATAAGCTCACCTGAGGAACCTCCTGCCACCTGCCTCCCTGCAGGCCCTGACCCCCAAAGATCAGCACAACTGCACCAAACAAAACAGCATTACGGATTTCTGAAGTGTCTCAAAACCTGAGCCCTGTCTCCACGCAGCCAAGCATTAACCACCATTTCTCTGTAAGCACAGTGTGGCTCTGAAGACCACAGCTGATGTCTTGCAGGGGTAGCAACCGAGGTTTGCTTGAAGTAAGTTTGTAAACCCCCTCTAAATTTACTTGATGATTAGCAGTGCTTGTGTGAATTTTGTTTCTTCTGTCTTATTTGTGAAAGTTCCTAAAGTTTGAGAAGTAACAGAAACAAAAGTTCTGGACCTCAGACACATAATCAGTTACTCACCACTACAGGCACATCTTCAGTCAATTCTTAAAGGGATGTTGCTTTACGACATGGCATAAAGGTTCTTCGTGACAGCAGCTACAGACACAGATCTAGCTTTAGAGGAGCGTGTCCAGGACAACTTAATGGTTTAGTCGGGAATGGAGAAAGCGAAGCCTAAATAATCAGTGCTTCCTGAACACAAACTAAGTGAAGTTGGTTATGCTGAATGTACACAAACAGTTGATTAACGTGCACTGCATGCAGAGGCAGCTCCGAGCCGCTGGCAGACAGGAGCCCAGGACAGGTTCCTACGCTGAGCCTCTCATTTTGATGGTTTTGTAGTGAAAAGTGAATTAGGAATAAAATCACTTCATTGCTCAGAAGGTGACGGAGGGAAAAGGAAACCAAACAACTACAGGAGGAGTCCTGCCAAGCAAGCAGCAACTCGAGGCTTTTCCTCCACAGCCCTGCAGTGACCCAGCCGCTGCTAACCCTGGAGGAGAGGCCAAGTGCTGCGCTCTGTCACTCGCTTGCTCATTTCGTTCTGCTTTCAAGTCCTCCTGCAGGTTCTCCGAGTGCCTGCTCCAAGCGAGCAGAGGCAGTAGTCTTGCAGAGAGGTCTCAGACACCAAGCTGCTGCCACCCGGGGCCGGGTGCTTGTCGCGGAGTACACGGTGTGCTCGCAGAGCGCTTATCCCCGCAGTTATTTGGCTGTCTGGTGCAGCAGTCGCCGTTGGCTCGTTCCCGTCGGTTTTCGCTGCGAGAGCCAGGGCCGTGATATCACTGCAGGAATGTGCAACAGCCTCGCTGCTGCCTGCTGAGGGGGAGGGGAGCACAAAAATGCTCTTCGGAGGAATTAAGAGCCCTGCAGCACACTTGTCTTTCGCCGTGGTCAGCCCGAGAGGAGGCCTCCCGCTGGCTGCCCGTGCCCGACGTCAGGAGAACTCGCTGTCCTTGAGTCTGTTTCTCTGAACACAAACTTCAACTCTACTTCCTCCTGACCTTTTCACCCCGAAAGCCTGGGGTTTGGCGCCTATAAATCCCCTTCAACTTGATTTACATGCCCCAAGACCTTCAGACTTCCTTAAAAGTGTATTGATGATCTGAGAAGCGTAACTCCCTCTCACCTGAGGTCAGGGAGCCCTCCGTAACAGTTCCTGAACCAAGGATCAGCTCAAACTTGACCCGCAAGAGATTCGGGAGCCCTAGCGCAGCCTGAAATAAAGTTGCAGAGAGCTACAGAATTCCAAAAAGCTCATCCCTCCCAGCACGTGCTTTTCTACAGAAACAAGCAGCATTGTGCTTTGATAAGCATGTTTATCTGGGCTTCAGAAGTACAATAGCTGAAAAGTGAAAGGCTGGAGGAATTAGGACTTCCCCTATTACACCCACCACTTTGATGATCAGGCTCCCCTTTACAAAGTTCATGTTTGCTCTCCCAAACTCAAGCAAACAAAGCAAAAACAGCCAAGTAACTGGTTCAATTCATCAGCCACGAGAGATCTGTTGAGAGCCTGACGTTACTGCTGCATGGGCTGAGCAGCACAGCAAAGACCCCCGGACATTTGTAACCTGCACAGCCAACGAGGAAAGGACCGAGGGGCATTTCTAGGATTTTGGGCACTTCTAGGAGGCGAGACCAACGCTCCACAGCTCCCTACAAACCACAGCACCCCCGACCCACACCACACAAAGCACGGCAGCGTTCTGCCACAATTTAGACCTATTAACCCAAAGCACTGAAAAAGCAGTCTTTGCTTATTTTAAGAGTTACTTTTAAAAGGTTTAAGCGGGAAGCACCGAATGGCCGCTGTCGGGAACGCGGCTGCTTCAAGCTCCAACGAGAAACCACCGAGGCAGAGGGGGGAAGGACGGGAAAGCTCCTCCGAACACCCTCAGCCACAGAAAGCGCTCGCAGTTTCCAGACGTGCTCCAACAGGCCCGAGGACGTTTTCCTGCTCGAAGCTGCCGGCCGAGGTTTCTCACCAGGCTGCGTTGTGTTCCAGAAGCTGCTCTGGACGGGAGCTGCTGCAGCCGGGGCAGCCACGGCCTCACAGGAGGCGGCTGAGGAGCTGCTGACCCCTCGGGCAGGCCGCGTCCCTCCACAAGGGGCATTTTTAAGGGCAAGCCTGGTTAAAAGCTGCTGCAGTTAAAAACTGAAAGACCTTAATTTTTACCTCAGAGACGAAGCTGGGGGGGAATGCTCCTGCTGCTGGCCTCGCTCCCCGCTCCCCTCAGCCCCCCAAAGCCCCCTCACCCCTCAGGGAAGCGCCAAGGCCCCGATCAGGGAGCCTCAGCTCACGGCCAGGATGACAGAAACCCCCCGGCACTGCCGGACCCGCCGAGGGGCAGCGCTCGGCGGTTAATTACGGTTAATTACCCGTCCCTAACGACAGCGCTGCGCCTCTGACAGGGCGCGGGGCCGGCCCCGGGGGGCTCACGGCGCTGCCGGGATCCCTCGCTGACAGGAGAGGCCGCTTGTGGCTGGGGTTTTGGGCCGGTTTAGAGGGGAATTGGGAAACCCGGGGGGGGTTGGCGTGAGGTGAGGCACCGGCTCCCCCCGCCCGGGAAAGGCCCCGCCGGGGCCGCGCTGCCCGAGCCCTTCCCGCAGCCCCCGGCCCGCTGAGGGGCACGGGGCCGAGCCGCAGCCCCCCGCCCGGTGCCTGTCCCCGGTCCCCCCCGTCCCGCCCTCACCCATCGCGGCTCCTGAGGCGGCGGCTCCCGGCGGCGGCCACAATATGGCGGGAGGGCGGCGGGGGGCGGGCGGCGAGCGGCCAACGGCGGCCGAGAGGAGCCAAACGGCCCCGAGCCGCGCGGGCCCGCCCCGGGGCGGGACGGGTGGGGGCGGACTCGGCCCGCCTCTAACGGCCGCCCCTCGGTCGGTTATGGCACCTCACGGGCTGGGCTTCACGGCCCTTCAGCCCCGTCACCTCAGTTATGGCGCCTCACGTTCTGTCCCCTCACGGCCCCTCAGCCCCATCCCCTCAGGTCCCCTCATGTCTGTGCCCTCGCATCCCCTCAGCACTGTCCCTTCAGGTCCCCTCATGTCGGCTCACAGCCCCTCAGCTCCATCCCCTCAAGCCCTGTCTCCTCATGTTCTGTCCCCTCATGTCCCTCCAGCCCCTCACATCCTGTCCCCTCAGGTCCTCTCACGTTCTGTCCCCTCACGCCTGTCCCCTCATCTCCCCTCATAATCCATCCCCTTACATCACCTCAGCCCCATCCCCTCAGCTCTGTCCCCTCAGCCCCAGCCCCTCACATCCCCTCACGTTCTGCCCCCTCACACTCCATCCCCTCACATCCCCTCAGTCCCATCCCCTCACGTCCCTCCAGGTCCCGTCCCCTCAGCTCCCACCCCTCAACCCTGTCCTCTCACACCCCAGCCCCGTCCTCCCGCACCCCAAGTCCCACCATGTCCCCACAGCATCCTCAGACTGCCAAGCTGGGGGCAGGCGGCTCCGGGCCCCCCATGGGAGGCATTGAGGGGACACGGGCACGATCCTGCTCCACGTGCAGCTCGGAGCAGGGCAGCACGCACAGCAGCGCTCTAAGATGTCTTTTCATTATAAAGTGTTTTAAGGATCTGTGTCCTTCGCAGCTCCACGGCCTCCTGCGGCAGGGGCTGAGCGGCGTGGGGGCATCAGGTGGCGCGTGGCCGGCAGTTCCCTCCCATGGCAAGGAAGACGTCAATGGGGACGTAGGGCAGGGTCAGGCAGTGGCTCCCAGGGCATCGCCGCAGCTGCCTGTGGGGAGAGAGAAGGGTGAGGGCAGCAGCATGGCAAGGTCGGACCCTGCACCCCACAGGAGTCCCTCTGGCGGGGCTCAGCACCCCCTTACCTTCCCGCAGGCTGCTCGGCACCCACTGGCTCCTGAGCTTCTGGAGCCGCGGCCAGGCTGGGACAGTCACCTGCCTCGATGGGGAACCTCCGGGCCTGTGGTGTTTCCTGGGAGCTCATGTCTGGGCCCTGGACGTGGCTGATGAGGGAGAAGGAGCCGTGAGCTGGCAGCACAGGGCCTGGCTCCTGAGATCCCCATCCCCACATGGGAGGCTCCCAGGGGATCGCCGGGGCTGGGTCTTGCCCTGCCGAAGGGCAGGAGGTGCTGCCTGCTCTGGTTCCAGCTGCCCGGGCTGGCTGGATGTGCCCAGCTCGGACACACGGCTGCGAGGCAGCAGCAGGAGGAGCTGGCACAGGGCACGGCCACTGCCTGCCCTCGGTGTCCCCGTGCTGAAGGTGCAGGATGACACCGAGCAGCGAAACGTTCCCAGCACGCCAGCTCTGAACCCCCTTCTGCCACCCCCCAGCCTGCTCTGGGGAAAAAGGGGAAGGGACACAGAGGGGCAAAAGGAGGGGGAGGACGTGTGGCCAGCCCCGCATCCCCTGCATTCCTCACCCCGTGAGCCCCCCTACTCACGGTGCCCACTGAGCGGGCGTTCCAGCACAGCCCTATCCCCCCTGCCCGGCCGAGTGGTCACCCACTTTGATGCACATCCGTCACCTCTGATTCACGCAGCATCAGCTGCATCATAATAGCACAGCAGGGTTTAAGAGGTCCCCCTGTGCTCCCCTTCACACAGCACCAGGCCACGAGCAGGGCCTTGGGGTGCTGTGCATGCCAGCGGGGGGCACGGGGAGTCCCTGGGTGCTGCGATGCTGTTGTGGAGTTTCTGGGGGTTGACCTGAGGCTGACTGGTCCCGGCTCGTAGGAGGACATGGAGGAGTTTTTGCTTGCCAATGGCTACCAGCTTGGCAAGACCATTGGGGAGGGAACTTACTCCAAAGTGAAGGAGGCCTTATCCCTAAAGCATCAGAAGAAAGTGGCAATTAAAATAATTGATAAGAAGGAAGGCCCAGAAGGTAAGAGGTGGCCCCAAAGGGACTCCAGGCTGAGGCACCGCCCCTCCTTGAAGACTTCTCATTCCTGCCAGAAAATAAGCTTCCCAAACTTTCCACCTAAGCGCAGTTTGGCCAGATGCTGACCCCAAGCGGAGCAGCCGGGGGCCGTGACCCAAAGATTCTTTAGCTGGTTGCTCCTGCGACTGCAGGGAGGGCCAAGTGCAGGCAGAACCCAGCACCCCCTCTGGACGAGCATCCTGGGGGAAGGTTTGGTTCCCCACAAGGAATTAAGCACCCACGGTGTGCCCTTCCCTCCCTCTACCCATCCCCGTGGCCTCAGCCGGGAGAGGTGCAGGGCATCAGCAGCTTGAGGATGGCCCCGGCCCTGCTCTGTGAGTAAATTTGCCTCCTCTCCTGGCAGAATTTATTCAGAGATTCCTGCCCCGGGAGCTCCAGATCGTCGGGCGCTTGGACCACAAGAACATCATCCGGGTGTACGAGATGCTGGAGTCTGCAGATGGGAAGATCTACCTGGTGATGGAGCTGGCGGAGGACGGGGACATCTTCGACTGCGTGCTGCGCGAGGGTCCCCTGCCCGAGCACCGCGCCAAGGCGCTCTTTCACCAGCTGGTCGAGGCCATCCGCTACTGCCACGGCTGTGGGGTGGCTCACCGTGACCTCAAGTGCGAGAACGCCCTGCTGCAGGGCCACACGGTCAAGCTGACGGACTTCGGCTTCGCCAAGCTGCTCCCCAGGGGCCGCCAGGAGCTGAGCCGCACCTTCTGCGGCAGCATGGCCTACGCGGCGCCCGAGGTGCTGCAGGGGGTGCCCCACGACAGCTGCAAGGGCGACGTCTGGAGCTTGGGTGTCATCCTCTACGCCCTGCTGTGCGCCCGCCTGCCCTTCGACGACACCAACATCCCCCAGATGCTGTGCCAGCAGCAGAAAGGAGTCTCCCTGCCCAGGCACCTGGGGGTCTCCAGGGAGTGCCAGGACCTCCTGAAAAGGCTCCTGGAGCCAGATATGATCATGAGGCCCTCGGTGGAGGGGGTCAGCAGGCACCCCTGGCTGGCGAACCCCTGAGAAGTGCCTGCTCTGCCCTCCCCCAATGGGACAGATTGCTTCTAAAATGACGATAAATTTGGATGTCAGTGTTTACCATCTATGCAGCCTCCTGGGTGTCCTGCCAGGCCTCTGGCTAGCAGAGACAGGGCCTGGTTCATATCTGGATGCTTTTACCTGCTCCCTCAAAGCCCTCAGCCTTCAGGGGCAGGGAGCAGGGCAGGCACAGCAAGCTTCACACAAGCCCCACACAGTCTGGGGCAGTGTTTGCACGTGGGGGGACACAGGGATATGCAGTGGGGGGGGCCAGGGAGATATACAACACTTGGGATCATGTGGATAGGCAGCAGGGCACCCCGGTTGTGGGCACCCCAGCTGCCCAGACACCTCTGCTTGTCTTCGTTCCTCTCCCCTTCATGCCCCCAGCTAAGTGAACCTCCCTTGGGGTAGGTAGGAGAAAAGGGAAAAGAAATGTAAAGCAGTTGGCTCCCTGAAGGCAGCTCTCCCCACCCCGCCGGCAAAGGAAAGGAGGACACAGGTAGCAACTCTGTAGAATTCCTTTAATTGCTGTTAACTGCAAGTCTGTAAAAGGTTTGGAGAAAGTCATTGTTACAAAACTACCAGCTGTTAGAAGTGTTCCTGGTTTTTGCCCCAGCTAGAAAAGGCTCAGGGAGATGCGGAATAGTTCAGAACAGAGAATATTGCACAGACAACCCCATGGTTAATTTGACAAAAGAAAAACAAAACAAAATGACACAGGTGAGAGCACTGCACCCTGAAGCTCTGCTGCTGGGCCAGGGATGCCGCTGTGACTCATGCCTTCAGCCTGCTGCCCCAACCCCTTGGCAGAAACCTTCCATCACAAGGGCTTCTGCTACTTGAGCCCACCCCAGGGCGAAGCTGCAGCAGGTTTCAGAGGCTCTGCTGTGTACCAGCAGCTCATGCCCGGGACCCCACACACAGGTTGTGCAGCACAGACAAGAGCTCGTGTAAGGGCCTGAAGTCGGTGCTGCCACCAAGCCACCCAGGGGAGCAGCTGCATTTGAGAATCTCCCCAATGGTGCGGAGAAAAAAAAAAAAACAATAATAAAATCAAGTCTTCCAAGTGTACCTAGGCTAATGCTATCCAGAAACAGAAGGAAAGCCCCAGCTCACATGGAGCAGCCCTGCAAGGGGCAGAAGGACAACAGTAGCACATATAAAACCACCACCCAAAAGGCCAAAAAACAGCAGCGTGGGCTCTGCCCCTTTAGGATAACTTCGTGTTAGCGACCCCCACTGAGGAGCACCTCGTGGCACCACGAGGGAGCTGCCTGCAGAGGCCGTGGGACCGAAGGAAGCGTTGCAAGCAGTCACAGGGGGTTGGGTGAGGGAAACCAGGTGAGCGCAGGGAGGTTTGTGACCCTGGTGGGGCTGGAAGGTGAGGAGGGCAGACACACCAAGAGGAGCCATCTGTGCTCGGATGCTTCTGCCTCTCCCCGGGCTGGGAGGAGGCTGAGCCTTGGCACCACAGCGTGTTGAAGCCGTCAGTGGCCCACACCGGGGCTTAACAAGGGCACTGCAGCGCAAGGTTCCACTCCCAAGCTGCCCCAAATCACTGCCTGCCCAGAAGGGCTCAGTGAGAGCAAGCCACAAAAAACTCTGCTTGGAGAATTGAATGAGAAGTACCTAGAATGCAGAAGAGGAAGGCAGCACAGCTGGTCTAGCTGTGAAGGGGAAAGCATCGAGCCCTGGCTCTCAGAGGAGCTGTTGCTCTTGCCGCAGCAAAGAGGAGTTCCCATCAGAAAAGGCTTCCAAGACAAAAAGCCAGGCAGAAGCTCAGGGTTTGGCAGGGAGTTTGGCTCCTTCCAGAACAGCCCAGCGCTGGGCCAAAGCCACAAGCCAACCGCCTTTTTTGTGGCAACGAGTGAAAAAGCAAATGGGGCTTCTCCTGCAGCGTCTCCAGCCCCCGGCCATTCCCCACGTGGGGGCTTTCTCTGGGGACAGCCTGACCAGCAGCACAGAGCAGTGAGCGAGTGGGAGCAGCACCCAAGATCCTTTGAACTGCTGTACCATCGATTACACACACACACACACACAAGCAAACACTCAGCCAACAGGCAATTCGGCAGCACCAAGCAATCCTGCCGGGTGCCCGAGTGCCTGCTCACCTCAGGGACCCCTCCCTGCATCGCATCTGCCTCCACCCGACACCTTTGGGGCAGTCAGTTTTGGCCTCGCCAGCCTCTAGGACCTACCGAGAAGATGAACTCCCTAGCAGCTACGTGTACGAGCAAATTCCTGCTTCCTTCTCCTCCTCCAGGTCTGAAGGGGTCATTTGAGATGCCCACAGGATTTAGCAGGAACGAAATTCCTCCAGCCAGGAACTGCGATCCCCAGCACAGTTACACACAAAGGAACAGCCGGTCCGTGATTTAATTCACATTCGATGGTGGAAATGAGCCTGTGACACACTGGAAGAAGGTGGTTTATTCCCAGTCTTCCCACTCTTCATCTTCAAGCTGCAAACAAGAAGAACATCTCTGTTGTTTCTGTAACTCAGACTGTCTATTGACAAATCCTCCTGCCCAGGGCACCCGAGCTGGTGCAAAGCCTGACGTATCCACTCACTCCCACACCCACACAGCAGAGATTTGCTTGCTGCGCTCCGCCTGCGGAACCTGCACACTCAGCCCTCTTTAAGCACATCCATCCTTCTTTAAGCACGAAAACCCTTTCTCTGCTCTAGCTAATCCCCATGGCTCCCATGCTGAGCTCCCAAGCAAAGCCCGTGTCCTCAAAGAGGGAGTGACACCTTGAGAAGCCGCCTGCGAGCTGCTCGAGGCAGGCACCTGCCTGCTGTGGTGCTGTCCTTCAGGCCAGCAGCAGCCACATCCGCACATCCTGCAGCAGGGCAGACACCGAGGGCCTGGCCCTTTTGCTCTGCAGTCTCTCCCCGCCTGGCTTCAGGCCCAGGGGAAGCACCCAAGAAGGGCAAAGCGCTGCAGCATCACCCCAAGGAGCTGATGAAATGCTGATGCCTTCCTCAAGCAGCCTTCTCGCTCGGCTGAGCGAGCGCCTCCCCTGCACTCACCTCCCCAGAGGCTTCCACCTTGGACAGCACCAGCTGCACCTCCTCTTCAGTCATGTCCAGATCAAAGTCCTTCTCCCAGTCCTCGCTGATATCCGTGCTGGAGCCTGTAAGCACAAACACCACGCCAGAGCCATCAGAGCTGTGCGTGCTCTCCAGACACCCCGGCCAACGCAGGAGCTGCCCGAGCAGGCCCACGAAGCACTCACAGGGCTCAGCTCCAACGCACCCTGCCCGAGGAGGGAGAACCTCCCCCGCTCCCAGCAGCTCCCTGCCAGGCGTGGGATGCACTGAGCTGCGTTTCTGTGCCAGCTGTTTCTGAGGGCTGCTCCCCCGGGCGCAGGACAAGTGGGAGAGGCAGGTGCTAGAACACGTTCTCCTCTGGGCTGGGAGAACTGGGACAGGTCACACCTCACTCACACACAAAGCGCAGCAGGTAAGGAGTGACAGTGACAGATATGGGGACTGCCACAGCCCCAACAGCAGGCACAACCTCCTGGGGCAGAGGGATGCTCCTCGGGGTGACAGGCAGAGGGAGGGAAACCCACCCCCTGCACAGAGCACAGCCTTGGCACCGCTGGCCCCACACACGCACCTTTCTTGCCGTTGTTGGAGGGGGTGGACTTCCCACTGTCCGAGTTCAGCTCAAAGATCCGCAGATCTGTTGGTCCCTCCTCTTTCAGAGTCTCTGTCCTGCCCTGGGCTCTGCTCTCCACCTCTCTGAGCTCTGTAACAGCCGGCTGCTCGGAGGATGCTGCGGGCTCCCGGGCAGGTGCAGGAGGATGCCCAGGTTCCGGGGGCTTTGGCAGAGAGCTCGGCTCTTCCGAAGTGGCTTCCAGCAGCCTCTGGGAGAGGTCTCTGGCCCCGTCTGGCTGTGCTCCAGTCTGTAGCTGTGCGGCAGGCACAGAGGCAGGGTTTGCAATCTGAGTCACAAGGGAGACGCTCTCACTGCTCTCGGAGGGGCTCCCCTCTGCTGGGGCTGGCTCAGGAGGGAGGACAGCCCAGCCTTCCTCTGAGGGACCCTTGTGAGAAGCAGGGTGGCTTCCCTCCGGGGCTGCAGGGGCAGCTGCTTTCTCTGCTGCTTCTGGAAATTTCACGTTTGCACAAGGCAGGGGGGACATCCCCAAGAGCTCCTCTGTAGGAAGGCAGAAGAGAAGCAAGAGATGTTTCAGCGAGCACAGCAGCAGCTGGGCCAGGAGCTGGACATGGGGGAGCGAGGAGCAGCCACTGCCCTCCCTAAATCAGAGTGCCGAGGTCTGCACGAGCCCATCCCCAGGCCCCCACCCCCTGACCCACCTTCATCCTCTTCCCAGCCTGGCTCCTCCCGGTGAATGCTCTGCTCCGCGCGCTGCTTCAGAGCCTCCCTCCGGGCTTCATCCTGCAGGGAGCTCAGCATCAGCAGCTGCTCACATCCCTGGTCCCTTCAGCCCCCAGGCACAGCGAGGACAAGGACCCAGGAATAACAGCCCAGAGCCCTGTCCTTCCAGGAAAAGGAACCTTCTGCCTCTTGGGCCTGCCTCACAGAGCTCCTTGCCTGGCGTGCCCACCCGCAGGGGGAACACCCACCCCGACCTACCTGCTCCAGGCGATGCAATTTGTAGAAGTAGCGCTGCCAGAACTCAGAGTGGGAAACAGCCACGGGGACCTGGGAGCAACACAGGGATCACGGCGTGAGGGAGGGCTGTGGCTGCTGCCTCACCCCTCTCTCCCCCTGAACTTCACAGGCACCACTGCAACCCGTGTAAGGCAAGTGGTTTTACCACTTGCACCACTGCGCCAGTTTACCATAAACCAGCTCCTCACCATTTTAGTGTAGAGAGCCCGTATGGAAGGGCTGGTTGCCAGCAGCTCTGCAATCTCCCCTTTCTTCTCCTCCAGGTGAAACTGGGAGAGCCAGGCCTCGAGGAGCTCAGCAGGGCCTGGAAAGGACAAGCATTGAGGTAATTTTTGGCAAGAGCAAGGCACAAACAGTTTCAGGAAGTTTCCTTGGGAAAGATGCTCCAGAGCAGACCAGCTGGGATGAGCAAAGGGCAGGCAAGGGAAGGCAGGAGCACAGCAAGACGCAGCCCTGACGAGCAGGCCTCCTCCTCAAGGCCTCAAACCCCACACGACAGGCAGGAGGGGATTTGCAAGCAGGATGCAGTCGAAGCAGAGAAACCGGGGAGGGGAGGAGCAGCAGCTTCAAGCCACGAGCAGCCAAAGCCCCGAGGGGTGCCTGCATTCCCCCCACCCACTGCATGCTCCCCATCCCCAGAGGGAGCTGCTCCTCACTGCTGCAAGGGAAAACCCAAAGCCCCACACGAGGCTCAGCACGCAGAGGGACGGACACCAATCTCACAGCAACGGCTGCAAGGGCCATGCAGGGTGGGTCCTCTGCCAGCAGTACCAGCCGTAGGGGTGGTGGAACCCATGGCAGGCTCCCAGCCCAGCCTGGTCCCGATGGCAGCAGGGCTGGGCTGCTGGTGACAGGCTGTAGGTGATGGGGACACCCCATAGACCCCACAACAACCCCCCCAGGCTCTCGGCAGCACTGCCGAGCCCATACCATCGGGTTCGTTGCAGTAGGTGGCTGGATCTGACTGGAGGCTGTAGAGGCGAGCCTGGAGAGAGGAGAACACACGGGGAAGAGGAGTCAGTGGAGGGGCAGCAGCGGGGCTGGGAAGATGAGGCACGGCGCTGGGGAGAAGCTCTGAGATAGGGCACTCACCTTCGCGCTGTCGTAGGGTTCTGTGGTCCCCGAGGGGGTTGCCATCAGTGTTATGACATCGCAGTCGATGGTTTTGTCCGGCGAGGGAGCAAATGTGTCTGAGATGACGCCCAGGAAGTCAGAAATTCCCTTCCTCACCTTTTCAGTCGCACCTGAGGAACCTTCTGCCCTCTTGAAGGAGAGAAGCAGCATAGCGTAAGTAACAGGACGTAAAGCAACAGGACAAATCTGTCCGTTCTGGGTGTGTTCTTTTCAGGAAGGATTTTTCTCCCTTCAAAGTGTGCTAACAATGCAGCCACATGTCCAGGCTGTGCAAAGGGTGTGGTGCCACTGGTCCAACTGGTAGCCCTTCGTGAGAGGTTGGTTGGGAACAGAGCCGAGGCTTTGAGGGGAAAAGCAGCCAGGCTCAAGGCCTGGCACAGCAACAGCTCTGAGGGGCTAAAGAGGGCAGCTTGGGCAAAGGTTGATATGACACGATGGTGACACTGCCAGGAGCCAGAAACGCACTGGTCACCTTCCCACGCTCATTCCCAGAGGTTCCTCACACCACATGGAAATCCCACACAGGGCTCAGAATCGGATCTGCACAGGAACAATGTCTGAAACCCACAGCCCGTGTTCATATCTCGGGGTCTGTTTGAAGGATCGTGCCCTCGGTGCCAGCTGTGGCCGTGTCCCTCTCGCCCCGTCCTGCAGCGCCCAGCTCTCCCCCTCCTCTACTCACTGCCAGTTTGTCCTTGACCACGCTGGCCGTAGCGGCGATCGTGCAGGCCGTGTCATGCTGCACTACTTGGGTGAACTCAGCCAGGTCCCGCTTCATGAACTCCAGAGCTTCTGAGGACTGCAAGAAGAGGACAGACAGATCGGCTGCTGTGGCTCTCCAGCAGAGGCACAGTCGCTCTGACATTTACACAGCTGACAGCGCAGGAGCCTCCACCCTGAGGGCCCTCGGCACAACTCGTGCGATGGGCAGGGCTGCGGTGAGCAGGAATAACAGCAGGACGCAGCCGTTCCCAAAACCCACAAGAGCATTTTTTATGTTAAAAACCAAAATCGAGGCGTTTTAGAAAGCCTTGTTTGGAGCGTTACGTAGTGTAATGGCCATGAGCAGCGCTGTCACGCAGGAAGTTACCCAGCACCGGGCAATGCTGCTCGGCTGCTCCTCCCCGGCTCCCGGCCCATCGATCCCACTCCCCCCGGTGTCCCCCCGGCCCCCCGGTGCCCAGCCCCGTACCTTGTCCCTGACGGCCTGGAAGCTCTGCTGCAGCCAGCCCCGCCACCAGCCCGCCTCCTCCCTGCCGGGGAAGAACGGGAGTCAAGAAGGGGGGCCTGGGCCGGGCCCCGCCGCACGGCACCGGCACGGAACGGAGCCCAGCCCGGTGCCCGGAGCCCAGCCCAACACCGGATCCCAGCCCGGTGCCCGGTTCCCGAACCCCAGCCCGGTACCGACGCCCAGACCCCAACCCATCCTAGCCCGGTCCCGGTCCCCAGATCCTGAATCCCGGTCCCGGTCCCGGTCCCGGTCCCGGTCCCGGCCCCGCCGCTCACCCGTCCGCCATCTCGGCGGCGTGACGTCACCACTATTTACCGACCCCTCACCCCGCAGCCCCGGGGCGGGGCGGGGCTCCCGGTATCGTCACTTCCTGCTGCCGGGAGGGCGGCCGGCGGTACGGCGGCCGGGAGGGGAGGGGAGGGGGCGGGACCGGCACCGGCACCGGGAGCGGCACCGGGAGGAGCCGGGCGGGGCGGGGCGGGGCGGGGCGGGGGCTCTGGTGGGGAAGCCCTTGGGGAGGGGGGTTTGGGTGGGGGGGGGAGGACCGGGCGGGGTGCTCCCGGTGCCCCCCCGGTGCCCTCCGGTGACGGCGCCGTCCCCGTCCCCGTCCCGCCCGCAGCCATGGAGGTGCAGTCGTACTACGCCAAGCTGCTGGGGGAGCTGAACGAGCAGCGCAAGCGGGACTTCTTCTGCGACTGCAGCATCATCGTGGAGGGGCGCATCTTCAAGGCGCACAAGAACATCCTCTTCGCCAACAGCGGCTACTTCCGCGCGCTGCTCATCCACTACATCCAGGACAGCGGGCGGCACAGCACCGCGTCCCTCGACATCGTCACCTCCGAGGCCTTCTCCGTCATCCTGGATTTCCTCTACTCGGGGAAGCTGGATCTGTGCGGGGAGAACGTCATCGAGGTGATGTCCGCGGCCAGCTACCTGCAGATGACCGACGTGGTGAACTTCTGCAAGGCCTACATCAGGTCGTCCTTGGATATCTGCAGGAAGATAGAGAGGGAGGCCGCCTTCTACCAGGCTGACAGCGGGAGCGGGGGCTCCGCGAGGGAGGGCCCCTCGTACGGCTCCAAGAGCCAGGGCTCTGCCCCCGCCTCGTCCCTGCAGGAGAAGGAGAGGGTGGGGGGCTGTCAGCGAGACCCCCCCTGCGGGGAGTGCAGCGGCTGCCACCCCCTGGAGCTCGTGGTGAGGGACCCGGTGAGCAGCGACTCCCCGGAGGACGTGAATTCCTCGCTGCCCAAGGGGGTGGAACCCAAGGTGGAGTTCGACTCGGATGAGGTGGAGGTGGAGGTGGGCGAGCGGCTGCAGCAGTACCCGACCCCGCTGTCCCTGGAGCAGATGGACGAGGGGCTGCACGGCGGGCAGGCGATGGACCTGGCCTGCAACAACTACCACATGAAGCAGTTCCTGGAGGCCCTGCTGCGCAACAGCTCGGCTCAGAGGAAGGACGACGTGGTTCATCACTTCGTCCGGGGCTTTGAGGGTAGGCCAGAGGATGCGGGGGTAGCCATGAGCTCCATGATGGACATTCACAGCGACTGGTATGGTGAGGATGCAGGTGAGAGGACTCGAGGGCGTAGGCAGGGTGCTTGGTGAGGAAACCACCTAGTTGTGCGACCTCCTTTGTTACTTTCTTGTTGAGGAGTGTGTTGCTGAATATTATGCCGTAGTGAAATAAACGATTGTTGTGGACTTCCAAAGAAAGCTGTACTCCTTTATTCAGTGCAGCACCTGGGAGGTAAGTATTTCTGTAGGGTTCACAGTCTGAAACTGATCCTGGAGCGTGGTGCTGGTGACGCTGCTTTAATAAACAGTCTCATTTGGGATCCTGTTGAATGGCAGGTGAATTTGAAACACTGAAATTATGAGAGGAAGTTTCTTTTTTTAAAAGTGCAATTGGCAAGTTAAGTTGGGCTGCTCCGAGAGGGACGTACAGACCAGAATTAGCTTATTCTGCTGGAGCTCCTACCAGCTAATTGGCTGCAGGATCAGTCTGCTTGCCGTTCCTTTGACCTTCAGAAAGGCAGAACTCAGTGTTGTTAAATGCTGTGATGCCTAGAATGTCCTTAAGAATGTGGAAAGCTTTAAATTCTGTGGTACTGCATAAAGACGAGACTTAACTTTTGCTTCCAGAGGCAGACTCGTTTTTCATCTGCTGGTCACCAGAAGTGCTGCTGCTTTCACAAGCCCGGGCCTGTTGGCAGTGTCTCCCAGCAGCAGTGTCAGGGGCCTGCAGCAGAAGGCAGTCATGTCCACGTGCATTTCTCCTGCAATGGACACAAAGGTATTTTTATCTGCTTACAGTCATGTTGGCACACAGCTTACCTCGTCCAAACTGCCTTACGAAGAAGGGAGGTGACCGATACACACTGCAAGTGATGTCACTTGAGGACATGACAAATGGGATAACGGTGTGGGCAGCAGAAAGGGAATCTTCCACCAAGTATTCTTCTCTAGATAGCAAGCTTACATTTGTGTTATTTCCTGTTCAAATATGCAAGCGTGATCTTAAAGCGAATAAAAACAATACCTTCTCTCACTGTTCTTAGAGAACAAATCTAGTAAAATCAATAATCTGCTCCTACAGTCACCAAAAGACTAAAGTTACCAGAAGAGAGCACCATCACCAGCTCATGTCTGATTTCTGACATGTAGTGAGGCGAGAGCATCTAATACCCAAACTTTGCTTACTTTTTCCCCTCTTAAGGTCTTTGGATTGTTAATGTTTCATTAAAAATTAAACCAGGATTTGATAGAGAACATCAGGTGTTAGTGGCAACATATTACAAATGTTAATGCTAGGTGTGCTTTAAATAGGAGGAGGGGGAAAAAAACATCTTGCATTCAGCTATGTTTCTCTGCTTAAACCGAGCATCATAAGCAGTTGGTAGGATGGAGATGCCTCTTCTCAGCTTTTAGTGCTCCTGCTGCCTTCAGCATTTTCACAAGACACCAGGGCTGACAAAAATAAAAGATAAAAGAATGGTGTGCTCATGAATTCAAGCTGACAGATGAGAAATGCCACTTCCTTCTGAGTGTCTGTATGTGCTCCAGTCATCCTGGTCCCCCTCAGCCGATGGAGGGTCGACGCCACCCCTAGAGTCTGGAAGCAAGGCAGGTCCAGCTGCTTTTCTTCCTGTAATTGGAGGTCTTGATGCCCAGGAGGGACCAGCAGTACCTCACAGAGGTACAAAGCTGGGCAAGATGAATTTCACTTGATGGCTACATGTCGATATTAAACACACTTTTTTTTTTTTTGAGATTGAGTTAAGCAAACCTCAGTAAGAGGAATGTTCTACAGTCTTACCTAAACAGGTGTAATTATTAAAGAGTTCAAGGCTGAATATGCAAAGACTTTTTTGAATCAGTACCTGAAACGTTAGAGAAACCTAATCCTTTAAGGTAACATCTAAGCCTCTGTGCTGCAAGGGCAGCTCATAGCTGGGCTGACACTGAAAATTTTGGCAATACCCATGTTTACATAAAACAGGATCTTCAAATTTAATTCTCCATTTTTGCATCTGACTTGATAAATTGTATATTTGTGTGCACGTGGTCTGATTTTAGTAAAATTTTGTCAGCAAGAACATTGGAATCCTTCATCCTGTTGTTTCTGATAGGCTAACGTGAATGGCAGTAGGAACAAACGTATTTTCAGATGGGTCCCCTGTACCTAAATTTGTGCATTGTAAAAGTGTATGGGAAACAGTGCACTGCTACCTGTAATTCGTGGTAAGATTTTAGTTTTGAATGCTGTTTAATGATAAGGGTATATATATATCTTTATATATATATATTATACCCTTTATATATATATAAAAAGGTTTTCTATGGCTGAGACAGTGCAGTGCACTAAAATCAACTCACTTAGCCATGTAAATATAAGCAAGCTGATTTTCAATGGACATGATCATCTCCAGCTGCATTAACGGGTTTTGAGATTGCGCAACCTACAGAAATTCCAGGTAAGCCAAACGCAAAAAGAGTGGAAAATGCAATTAATTTGACTCAGATTTGCAGCAAGGACAAGAAGCCGACATACCTGACGTTGCTGAGCTGCCTAATCTAACGCACTGTGTTCTTTTTCAAAAGGAGACGTGTTAGTCGTGCCCATCAAGCTTCACAAATGTCCGTTCTGTCCCTACACGGCCAAGCAGAAAGGAATACTGAAGCGGCACATTCGCTCTCACACAGGAGAGAGACCCTACCCCTGTGAGACCTGTGGGAAGCGTTTCACCCGGCAGGAACACCTTCGGAGTCACGCTTTAAGTGTAAGTTTGAAAGGTGATCATGAAATTTTAAAAGCAGACTGTTTTATTGTTTCCCGATTGTATTTCCCAAAATATCTTGCACACAGTGATTGCTGCCAACTCAGATAAACTTTGCTAATAATAAGTTTAAGCAATTGATGTTTGGTTCAGCAGTAGTTATGTAGTCCCAAATCTTTGTCTCTGGCAGTGTGGTGGGGTCACCTGCCCCTTAGCTTAGATGTTCTACGTGTGCCAACCAGCACCCTAAAAACAGCTAAAGCTAAGAAGCCAGATTGCCTTTTTATCACAGTATTTTATTTTTAACCTCAGGTGCATCGATCGAACAAGCCAATTATCTGCAAAGGTTGCAGGAGAACATTCACGAGTAGCCTGTCTCAAGGATTGCGACGCTTTGGCTTGTGTGACAGCTGCACTTGTGTGACCACTACGCACGATGACTCGATGCCCATTAACCTCAGCCTGATGGAACCTTCCTCAGAGGGCCAGGAGAAGGGTGACACGGATAATGACTGGCCCATATATGTGGAGTCCGGGGAGGAAAACGATCCAGCTGATGATGATGATGCTGATGGTGATGACAAGCAGGAGATCCACAGGAGTTTATCAGATCGAGAAACACTTATGTAGCAGTGGGAGGAGAGGGGGAGGACTGAAGGTCTCTCTCTGCCAATGGCTGCTTTGCAACAGAAAACTGTGTTAGTGAGGCTGAGCTGTTTCTTTTTTCTTTTTTTTTAATTATTATTATTCAATTTTTTAATTGAAGAATGGGGAGAAATAGAGTTTTTAATACTTTTAAGTTTTCAGTGCTGTGCACCAGAATTCTGTGAAGAATCTGTTTGGGCTTCACAGAGGTTTTACTTGAGCAATCTCCAGTTGTGTCTCTGCTTCCTAGTTTTGAGGAAGAGGCAACATTTTGTAGGCAGAACATCTGTTGTTTTGATAACAGGTTTCTTCAAATAATATTGGCGTGGTCCTTAATCCCTGATCTGGAAGGGGCACCGTCTTCTCTCTGAAGATTAGATTTGAAGAAATGTAGTTTTCATCCATTACCATGGACTTTTCTAAACTAGGTTGTGATCCTTCTGTATTAGGA